GTTGGTTCATCATGAATAACAATCCGGACCACCACTTCTAAGTAGCAGTTGCGGTCGGGTATGTGTCAACTCCACCAACTGGATACTTAAGTGAGAGGCACTGAACTATATGTAAGTAAGTCGGGGGTCGATTAATCATTTTCAATAATCTACTATATTCGTAATGATCCAGAATCCTGTATGTACTAAGCAGCAGCAAGTATATATATGTTTGGTCTGCTGGAGAGTATTTTTCGAAAATGAATTGATTAGTGAACGCTTTTCGGGTATAAACTCATAATGAACGACTGCTTCAACTTCCCGTGTAACTTAAAAATAAAATATCTTGTAAAAAATGAAATCAAACTGAATACTTTTTTTCCGGTATTCATATATATTTAAAAACTTGAAAAACTTTTGATAAATCCATAAACGAAAAATTCTTTACGAATGTATGTATATAGATAGGTGAATGAATAGTTCTAAATTTCGATAAGAAACTTGAATTCAAACTGATCAATAAAACAAACAAAACGTGACATTCACGTAAATGTAAAAAAATTGTTCAATTAAATATTAGTTACTTGTAAGTAATATAACTAGAATGTATAAATATGACAGTATAAACAAAACAGAGGAAAATGTAATCTTGAAAACAAACAAACCAAATAGTCATCAATGACGAAAACAAATACAAAAAATTTCTTGTGAATCTGTGAAGCATAAAAGAATTTACTTATTCCAGACTCTTGCCAAGATTGTGTAGGTTTGATTCTACTGAATGAAAAATAGTGTAAACGTTTTATTCATGTAAGAATGAATGCTTTGAGAAAGTGTCTCTGAAGAAAGCCTACGAAGAATCAGAGATAGAAAGAAAGAGAGACTCGCAAAATACATTAAGATAATCAATGAATTTAGGAAACCTAAGACCAAAGAAGAGAACAGAAGTGTAGTAAATCACATATTGGTTTTAAGCTAAAGTTAACATGCTTTTTATAAAAAAAAAGAGACAACAGTTTCTCAATGAATTCCGTTTATTTCTCCATCTCAAAACATTCATGAATAAGATAGATGATAAAAAATTCATTGAGCAACTACTAGTCCATTGCTATATACAACACATTAAACTTTATAATAGTGGAGAAAATTTCACTCATATCATAAATCAGATATGAGCGAATAACAGCTTTTTTGATATGATTGTGTACACAAACAGGTTCAATCAAAACAAAAAAAAGAAGAGGGTCTTATTTGTTGAAATTCATCTGGATAATAATGAGATTATTTATGTGATATGAGTTGATGATGTATTATAATAATAATAATCAATTTCATTATTGGTTCTAGCAGTGGCAGTAGTAGTCGTATTTTGTTTTAAACTCGAAACTGTGGAACAATTGGTGGTCATATTATTATTATTATTGTGCTCCCTGTAAATTGGTGTAATCAGTAGACGTGATAGATCTCTTGGATTAGTAGTATTGGTCAGTGTATTCGAAATAATGTCAATTGATTGAGATGTGTAATTATTATTCATCTGTGTCAAATCATTGTCATTGTCACATGTACTTCTTGTGTGAATGTTTCTTGGAATACCAGAGGTGTGATGATTGTTGTTGCTGTTATATGTTGTGAATTCATGATTCACTGTATTATTATGAGCATATGATATTGATTGATCATTGAATAAATTGTTTGAATTTCTCGATAGTCGACTAGTTGTACCACTACTACTGCTACTACTACTACTATCCGAGTTATTATACATCAGGGCATGATTTTGTCTTTCTTCCAATTCTATAGTCATACGACGTAACAGTGTAGCTAATTGTTCACGTGTTTCTCTTAATTGTTCAACTACTCTTCTATGTCTTTGTGGTGGTACCAGTCGTCGAAATTCAAATGGTCGATTTGTTTGTCGTTGTCTTGAATTACTATTATTACTACTCACTGAAAGTGTTTGAGTGTTATTATTATTATTATTTATCTGTCTAGAGTCTAAATTAGAAGTGATTGGTGCTTCATCATCACATAGCATAGCTGGAAGATGAATTGTTTGACAATGATCAGAATGTTGTTGATGATCATTATTAATATGATGATCTCTTAGATCATTATTACCCTCTATTGAACATGGATTGTGAATAGAATTGGAATTCACCGCAAGTAAACTGATCGCATCATGAATTAGACTGAATTGATTGTCAACTTCTCCAGAGGATACATGAATTAACGAGTGGGCGGCTTGTTCACCTCTTCTTGTCTGTCGTCTTCCTACGACATTCGGCAATCGTCCAATATGTGTTCTGGAATCGCGAACAGTAGTAATTCCTTGTCTATGTCCATCACTATTATTATTCATGGTTGTGCTTGACTGCGTCAATGATGGTACATACGATCGTGTTTGTCTAGAATGTGTTGAAACATTTGCGAAACTTTGCTGATACTGCGGTTGTTCATCACGCAGTCGAAGTATACGAGATTGATGCGTAGTAGTTGCAGGCAGATAATAACTTCTTCTTAATGCTTCTATAGAATCATGAATATTTTCTAATTGATTCATATTATCATCTGAATTGAAAATTGATCGATTATGATTTCTATTTTGTGCTTGCCTATTTCGAATACTTGACATTGGTGTTATTCTATTTGGTGTGGTGGTCATTGTTAACAATCGTTGCATTGAATGATCAAATAATGATTGATTTGTTGACAAATTATTAATTGGTTCACATACAACCGGCACTTGTCCAATATTCAAATTTATCTGGTCGTTATTATTATTATCAAGCAAGTGATTATTGCTGATTTCTTGTAATCCATACCTTCTTAATGGCATTCCATTGGCTGTTTTAACCATGCCTTTATTGTATATCATGGGATTGTGTGCTGTTGTCGGCAGTGAAGCTGCTGCTCCTGCTGATGATGATGATGGTGAGGAGGAGGAGAACAACAAATAGGAATTCATTTGATATTTTATATAGTCAGACAATGACAAGTCCAATTCATCCGGAGTGTAATGTCGATGTTCATGGTGTTGATAGGCGCTTAATAAACCCATCCAATTACAACCATCTGTTAGACATTGAACATGTTTCGCATTCATTTGTTCATTTAACTATCAAAATACAAAATAAAATAAAATAAAACACGCAAGAAATAGGTGCAACATTTTGTTTTGATCATTGTAACATGTGTTGTGTGTTTAAAAATTCAAAAAGAAGAACATGTTAATATTAAAACTACGATAATGTACTACATATGTGGTGCGCGCTACTTATAAGTAGTATATGACACGAGTGTAAACGTAATGTCTGACAGCAGAAGATGGGAACACAATGGAATTTGTATGAAATGCATGAATAGTGAGTGAAATGTCAGACAATGGATTGATGATGGATTGAAGATTTGCAAATTAACCGTTTACACGATATGGTTTTCGTATTTTACTGAGTAACTCTGTAATTTTCGTTATGCAATTGTAATTCCATGTATAAAAACAGGTTGTAAGAAGAATGAATGCATAGTATGCGACTTGTAGAGTGACTGGAAATTCTGACTTACTATGGATCATGTTCCCTGATTTATGCTGTATGATGAGAAGTAATTGTTGTTTGAAACAAAAGTGTCATTATTATTGAAGGAATAATCGATTGCAGATTGTGGGCGAGTTCGTTCTTGATCACAACTGTGTCATCACTTGGAAATATTTAGGTTAGTTGTAAGCACAGTAATAAGTGAATTGTCTACGGTTTACACTAGTCTTATAAATTACCAAAAATAACACATACCTACCAAATTACTTACTCCACTTATCCCTAATGGAGCATAGGCCGTCAGATGGCATCCTACAACCTACTCGGTCCGAGGCCTTCCTTTCCAGTTCTATCCAACTCCCATTCATTAGTTTCATGTTTGTATCTCGTTCTCGACGCATTGTATACATTCGTCTGCTTCTCTTTCTTTGCATTTGAGGATTCCAAGTGAGGCATTGCCTTGTGATGATGCAGTTCGGTGATTTCCTCATTGTGTGTCCTATTCTCTCCCACCGCTTCTATCTGATTTCCTCCTCCACTAAAATCTGATTTATTCTCTCTCTCTCTAACTAGGTTGTTGCTGATGTTGTCTGCCAAACGGATCAAAAGTGTTTTTTTTGAGTAGAAAACTGTTATTAAATACTTGTATCTTGTGGATGATGGCTTTAGTAAGACTATCTTGAAACTTGTAATGAAAATTCTGATTTTAGTGTTGATTGATATTTGTTTGTAGTTCGAGATGTTGTACCAATTGTGGAAACGTAGTCCTTGCTTTGCCCGTGCGCGCTTTCCCATCTGCATCAGATCCATCTTGTTCATCAGTGATGCTGTCCAGGTATGTAAAGGTTTCTACATTTTCCAAAGCCTCTTCATCAAGTGTGATTTGACTGATGCACGGTGAGTAGTATCAAAAAATTTTGACTTTCCCTTTGTGTATGTTGAGACATACAGCTATAAACGTTGCTGTCGCACTGTGTGTTTGTGTGTGTGCGTGAAATAGAAGGGTTAGATCATTTGACAAGTCCAGATAAATAATATATAATTTATCAAATAGAATTATTTAACTCACATCAAAATTCTTAGCATACAAACCATCACATCTGCATACTGGACAAGTATCGTGACCAGCGGTTGGTCCGGTGGACCAAGTATATATACAGCCATAGCAAAATTTATGCTGATTTTGACATTGATACGGATCTTTGAGTATTAAGAAACTACAAAGAAAGATTGAAAAATGTTAATCACATTTGATTTACATATAAATAAACACATATATATATATATATCTTTAAATTGACCATATATCTGAAGCTAATTCAAAGTATACGAGTTTACAATTATGATTAAATTGGATATGAAGATCCCTGAGTACTCTAATTGGAATACAATCTAAGCAGGTGTCATTTGGTACACTTATGGCTGCGAAACATAGCCGGCGAGAGTAGATATTCGTAGGTTACTGGTTTTCGATCATAGGTGTCTTCGAAGTATTGCTCGTATACCGTGGGACAACCGAGTAAGCAGTGCTGTCGTTAGTAAACGAGTAATAGGCAAGAATGGCAGGTCAGTCGATGAAGTAATGAAACTTCATCATTTGAGGTGGTTGGAACATGTGTTGCGTATGCCCAACCACTGACTGCCTCGACGAGCTATGTTCTGTGGTGTAAGAACCGGTCGGAAGAAAGCTAAGGGTGGCCAAACGATGACTCAAAACCGTTTGCAATGGAGCAAGTGCATCGATTATTTATGTTGTCCCAAATCCTAACCTTCTTAATTCCTCATCACCTTTATCTTTTTCTTTTAACTTTATTACACTAGACTTTACTTCTTGCACAATATAGTCGAACCATGAGTTGATGTACGTACGTACGAAGTTCTACGTTGTAACTGACTGACTGACTGACACTTAGGTAATCTCTAGCTAGGAAAAAACAGCTATTCCTTTCATCAGCTAATGTGAAGCCAATGAATAATCATAGAAAATCAAATTATGAAACATTTTATGCAATGATTTCTGAAAGTTCCTCATCGGTCATTTTCGTTAGCATGAAAGTTTGATTTTATATAGTGCTGTATCGAATATGCAACTGGTAAGTGAATCCTCACAATGAATATTTCTGCAAGTCTTTGACCTTGATAATGGCCGTATTAGTTTTACTGTTGCACACTCTATCTGAAGGCGTACAGTCGTGCTAGATAACCACCGAGTACGCTATCATACGCATCTCTTCAGATCAATTAGCAAGCCTAGTTAGTTCATTCACTCCTCCTGATCCAAACCAACCTTCAAATAAACCGTTAAGCTTCCTCATTATTGACGTCTGCTGATTTGACCGATTTTCGGGTATGCATTCTTTAGGAAGTTAAGTGAAAGATAAGTCTCTACGAATGTTTGTTAGGTAGGGTTGATGAGGCCAATCTACAACCAACTGTATAATGTGTACAATTCTTCTTGAACACTGCTGCTGAGTTGTTACTAATCTGGTATTTTTGAATCGGTTTTGCTTGCCTTTCTGTGTAGGTTTTTCATGTTATTTTCAGAAGATGCAAGAATGACATTTCCCTCTATTGATTGTTTTCAATGGTTTGGATTGTAACTGAATCGATTATGTCACAAATCCATGAAGTCGTCGACCATTGGGTTGAACCATTATTGGTAGATTTAGACTATCAGGTTAGGATCCCCGTGACCATAGTAACCAATGGATAGAGACTTTGAATGACATGGCTCAATAATCGTTTGCCAGTACCTCCATTCTTTATCTTCTATCAAATTCTGACCTGAATTCCTCATGACCTTTCTCTCTCCCACTCTCTCTCCTTAAATTTACTTCACTAAGTTAAACGTCTTGAATCATATCTTCAATCCCCCGACCGTAGCTGCTACCTTGACGTGGTGGTCGGGCTTGCCTATCGTGAAGACCCAACCGAGCTATATTGGTCGGAACATATGTTCCTTAAGGTTCTACCATGCCATGTAGGTCGGTTGGAGAACGATGAGACTAAAAGCAGCTACTCAATATCTGGGGGCGAAGTCTTACTACTGACTGCAGAGGGGTGTGACAGCAGTAAGGTGTTTCCCTCGGACAACCAGCATCTGCAGCGATGATGCCTTCTCACAAGGAAGGAAGGGTTAGAAAATGTAGACCCTAAAAATGTCACACCTCACCCTACCTCAGGGATTTTCATCTCCGGTGGTAAGGGTGCCCACTAAAGGCTTTTAAGAGCGGAGCTAATACTCAAAAAACCTTTTATAAAAAGGCCGTGCGTGACCAGCCTCAAGCAGTTGTCCCTTCGGCCCTGCGGTCACGCACCCAGGTCCCTAGGACCAACACTAATCTATCTTCTTTTCAAGGTTCCTCCAGAAACACCCTTCCACAGTGTGGGCAGCCGGGAAGTGACAATCGCTCTCATACCCGCAACAGCACGAGAGACCAAATTAGTCGAAATCAAATCCTTCCTACCGATATCTTCAATCCCTTCAATGATCTTTTTCATTACCGCTTATAATGCTACTACCACTAATACTATGGAATTTTAACTGTCAATCCGATGATCTCTATGTGGTAACATGGTATATTATTGACAACCTGAACTGATTTAACCAGTGAATCGGATAAATACATAGATAACCTGATAACAGCGCTGAATTTGAATCAAGAATATTATATTACTATCAAGTTAAATGAATTTGGTTTCCCCTAAACTCTAATAAGTTATCACTATTTTTCAATGCATATGAATGAATTTGAAATGTAATTTGGGATGGAGGGAGGAGGAGGTTATTGTTGGCAATCAACTGCACATTATGATTCCCATTTATCATTAATGTAACTACTTACCATATTGTACATAAATAGTCTTCTTTTTCGCTATTTAATAAATCAATAAATAATTCTTCAGGATAACCTCCAGGTTGAATATCATTTGATAATGAATCGTCATTATCATTATTATTACTATTATTATTATTATTGCTTGTTACAACACTGATCATGTCGCTGTCGTTTGCGTCAAGTACTACTGTAGGTGAATGACGCTGTGAATTAGGCATGGATGTGAAATTTAAATCATTCAATGACCATGCTGAACTGACTGAAGAGGAGGAAGAAGACGACGAAGATGAAGATGGAAAGAATGTTCGTGGTGTATGCGCATATCTTCTGGGGAATATATTTTCTACTGTAGAATTCAAATGATTTGTCATATTAGTACTATGTGCTTGCAGAGGTGGTGGCGGCGACGGAGGAGATGGCGTCGGCTGTTGCTGCTGTTGATAATCAGAAAAATAATGATGATATGTGTTCAATTGTCTGTGTGATATATTATCATGATTGATATCCATCGAGTAATTGTCAGTTAGGTTCAGCGATAAATCAGCCAGCAAATTACCCATTATTTTCATGATAGTTAGTATATGATTTGTTGATTTAGTGGATTTTTTTATTATTATCTCAAAACGAATTCATTTCACTTTCAATTGACGTTTGATTTTTTTTTGAACACATTGAAATCCTTTCATCATGATCCCTGTTAAAAATGACAAAAATTATTATTATTAGTAGTAGTAATGTGGTGTGTGCTACTTATACGAACGATATAAGTAGTATAAGAAGGGATGTGAAAGAAGTCTCACGGTCAGATGTGGAAAACGGAAAGCAAATGGAGCAAAAGCAAGAAGTAAATGGAGTACCAACAGGAAGGAAAGGAAGCAACAGAAGGAATGGAAGAAGGATGGAGTGTTGGAAGTCACGACTCAAAGATGGTGTGCAAATAGAGTGTTTAGTGTAATGTTTTCGTCTTGTTGGGCAATTCCTCTTCCAATGTCCGGTTCCTCCGCAAATACAGTATTTATTATTTCTTCCACCCTTTAATCGTAACGCTGCCACCTCGCGTTGTAATTCTTTTATCTTCTTCGCGACATCATCAGCCTGTCTCTCGCACGCCACCGAGGCGACTGTTGAGTTCATCAGTTGTTTTGTTACTTTAGCCAGCTCGGTGACGTCCATTGGTTGTGCGGCGTTCACCAGTCTCAACTGTTGGGCAACCTCTGCAGGCACACTTTCAATGAATTGCGACGCTAGCAGCTGTGCTTGCGACTCCTCATCCAAATTCGGCAGACCCCGGCGCAGCAATCTTGTCAATTCTACAGCCAGCACGAGTGGGTCGCCATCCACCGTCAGTCTCGCCTCTCAGAACTTCTGCAGTGCGTCCTGCCTATCCGCCGGGCTGTCGAACTCCACCAGCAGCCTTTCCGTCACAACATCCCAGTCAGCGTCCTCCACACCGTCGTACACCGCTCTCGCACTGCCTCTTAGGAGAGTCCCCAACACCACCGCCTTTGCTCCTTGACTACTGGCAGCTCCGCCACGGCCTCGAACTCCTTCAAGAAGCTTCTTACATCTCCGTCTTCAAACTCTCAAGGCCATGGGATCTTCATCCTGTGTAGAGGCAGCGACACCAATTGAGAAGACTGTGGCAGGCGCGGAAGATTGTAGTATGCAAATTTACACTCTGAGTCAATTAAAAACGAAAACATTACATTGAACAGAACACTCTATTTGCACACCATCATCGAGTCGTGACTTTCAACGCTCCATCCTTCTTCCATTCCTGTTGTTGCTTCCTTTCCTTCCTGTTGATACTCCATTTACTTCTTGCTTTTGCTCCATTTGCTTTCCGTTTTCCTCTTCTGACCATGAGACTTCTTCTTCTTTCACGTCCCTTCTTATACTACTACTTATATCGTTCGTATAAGTAGCACATACCACAGTCATAGTGATATGATGAATACTAAACAATACTACTCCTGAATATTTATTTATACATAAAGTAAAATTACATAAAATTTGTCATGTTTCTTAATAAACAACCTATCATATGATAGTGTTGGGAAATATTGACATGTGAACATTGAACTGATGCCTGAGTAGATGTTATTTAACAGCATTTCCAGCGTATTGATGAAATTCAGTTAATTGGATAGAGATGTCTTGGAGGACTTAAAAACCTTTTAATAACTGGACAGCATTATCGACACGCAAGGTGGATCTGATGCAAATGTGAAGGCGCACGTGGACAAAGCAAGGACAGCGTTTCTAAAAACTTTACAACATCTGAAACTACAAATAACTATCAACCAACACTAAAATTAGAAACTTGTAGAACTACTAAAGCCATCATCCACAAGATATAAGTATTTAATAACAGTTGTCTACGCAACAGGATACTTCGGATCCGTTGGTCAGACACCATCTGAAACAACCTAGTAAGGGAGAGAACTAACCAGATTGCAGTGCAGGAGGAAATCAGGTAGAAGCACTGGGAGTGAATAGGATACACATTGAGGAAATCACCGAACTGCATCATCACAATCCAGGCCTTCACCTTGAACCCTCAAGGTCAAGAAACACTACACTCTGAGAAATGAAGAAAGACGCGAGAAGAATGTACTACAGTCGGACAGAACTGGAAAGCGAGGCCTGGGACAGAGTTGGTTGGAGAACACTGGTCAGCGACCTATTCTTCATCAGGGTTAACAGGCGTAATCAAGTAATATATACCTTATTTCGACACAGACTTCATTACCAATGATATATATATATATATCTGACGAATAGATATTTAACAAAAATTCAAAAAAACAGTAAAAACACCACAAAAATAAGAAACAAATGACATTAAATCAGATCATCATTACTTACTTACACAATACAATAAATTCATTGCAAACAACGTTTATTTCTTCTCAGCGTCAATGCATTGCATGATGAATGCAACGCTAACAATTCAAAAAATCAAAATGGCTTGTAGTAATCGATACTGTAATTGATTGATCGATTGACTGACTGATTGCACGAGTGCATTTTATATTTTGAATATCATAATGTCACATTAATAACGTGTACTGTATATATCTATGCATATATCTATCTATCTATCTACTTATAGGGATGATTGTGTGTTTGAACATTACTATGATCCCCTTCTTATATATGATTCGATGCTAGTCACTATGGTGATGATGTTCAGGTCAAGAACATTTGTTTATACCTGATATATATATATATATATATATATATATATATATATATATAAGATATATATATATGCATAATTGCGTTATCATTGGGTACTACTATTCAATCAATGATCCTGTGACCCTGTACTTCGATGCATACTCACTCACTCTTACACACACACACAGCGAGATCATTGCATTCTGTTATTTTGTCAGTATAATAATATAAGAGGAGGCGGCAACCAAAAAAGAATTAATGTACTATTATTCCATTATTGTCGTAAGTTAGTGGCCAGAGTTGTTTTTTCCTACTCTATGCAGAAACTTGCACAATCTATGCTGACATGGTTATTTTGTATTTTCACTGGCTGATCAGCTGATTCTTCTTATTTTTTTCTTTTGTAATTCGATGAAATAAGTAAGGACTTAGTTTAAAACAAAAAAGATAACATCCTCTAGGAATTTTCTGGTTTTCATTAGCCCACAATGGAATAATAGCTATCAAATAAATGTCCATTTTCAATGGGTCCCTACGTGATATGAGATAGTACTGTAAGAGGATTACGAAACAACTACATATATGCATTACGGGGTTGGGAAGATTGTTAAGTTACACATTTTTGAAACCATGAATCGATCAATGTTAGACCACCATTAGAAACCTGGAAGCACTGAACGGCCGTTTCATCCAAGTATGGGACTCATCAGCAGTGCGCATCCATGACTCCTGCACCCCGCAGGATTCGAACCCATAACATTTGTTATTGTAGGCGAACGCCTAACCAATGGATCACTGGGCCGGTATCTAACGGTGTTAATGTCTAACTTGATCAAATTCACGGAGTTGCGCAACCTCATACACAGTCTTCGGTAGACATTGCCTACACCCGAACAGGTTGAACTTCACTGGTCACGACTTCCCACTAGAACTCGGAGAAGATTCCTCACGAAGCTAGTCACTAGTGAGCACAGGTAATTGCATTACGGGGTTGTGAAGATTGTTAAGTTACACATTTTGAAACCATGAATCGATCAATGTTAGACCACCATTAGAAACCTGGAAGCACTGGACGGCCGTTTCGAATCCTGCGGGGTGCAGGAGTCGTGGATGTGCACTGTTGAGGAGTCCAATACCAGGACGAAACGGCCGTCCAGTGCTTCCAGGTTTCTAATGGTGGTTTAACATTGATCGATTCATGGTTTCAAAAAATGTGTAACTACATATATATATATATACACTGACCACTTAAACTTTACTCATTATTTCTAG